CCAGTTTGCAGGCCCAGATTCCGGACACCAAGCCAGCTTCATGATAGAGTGCCCTGAATGTACTCTACTACTACTAGTATTACTACTACTACTACTACTACTACTACTACTACTACTACGACTACTACCACTTACTTCGACCCCCTACTTGTGTAAAGGATCAGGATCAGGGGACTCCCAGAGTCCCTATCAGAGCCCTTCTAGACCCCTATGAGCCTTATAACCTGAGGGAAAGATCAGGGGGGGGGGACTCCTGAAGTTGCACAGCTCTACCTAGGCCGCCGGGCTTTTGGACGGAGCGCTCGGCGGCGATGCCAGTGGCGGCCTGGCGCAAGGTAGGTAACAGTTTTGTATGTTTTTTAAATAAGGCGTATCTGAGGTTTCCGGTAGGTTTCCGGCAAGAAAGGCTTGAAAGGACTTTAACAGTCATGAACTGCGAAACCGCAAGGCGGGTTTAAGCAGGGTTGAGGGCTTTTTCGGGCCCGTGCTGTTTTGGTTCGATTTTTAGCGGTGTCAGGGTCTAGGATTTGTGCTGTTGCTTTCGACTATATCATTGCCAACAACAGGCCTGATGGAGCGTAGGTAGATCCTACAAATATCCCGACTTGTAGAGCCCCTTGTAACACCGTTGCAGAAAAGTAATTTTGAGGGGTTTAAATTTTTCGGGTACGTCGGCAAGTGGTCGCAATGGGCTCGGCTGCCAATCCTTTTTTCGTGCCTCGATGCCATGTAATTTGGAAGAGAAATTTACCCTAAACCCTAAAGGGTTCCCATAACGGCTCCTCTTTTTCAACGTCTTGCTCATCGTGGGGACTTCAAGGTTCGCTTTCTCGGCCCCTATATGAGTGTTATGGGAGTTCCCGAAATTTCGGGGTACATTATTTGGGGGTCCTTACGAAAAGGATCCTACTATTTAGCGTACCGTAGTAGGGTCGCCTATTTTCGGAAAGCCCCATACGAGTGTTATCCTGTCCCAGACAGGTGAAAGTACACTCCACAACTGAGACAACGCTCTTGCCACTGCTTTCTCACCACTGTGTGTTGCAAGCCCGCAACCGAGCAATTTTCGGCGGCCTCTGGCGGGGTGGCAGCTGATATATTGTTGATTGTAGCTGATCTATTTTGCATCATATTGTGTATACTGTACATTTTATGTTATACATATTGGTCTCTTTGTTCATGTATCTGTTTGCTTGCTTGCTCTAAGAAGCCCTAAACCCCAAAACCCCTGTTGCACAAGCCCACAGTGTCAGAGTTCTGCTCGTGCCAAGATGGTCTTGGCGGTCTCGCTGCCGGCACAGTCGTCAATGGCATTCCGCAGGCAAAGAAGACTGGGCTTATCAGAGCCTTCACCTTCGAAGGCAACGGTGCTTCTTGCCCCGCCCGATGATCGCAGGAGGGAGCATGGCACACTTCTCTCTCGAGGAGTCCCTATGATGTTCGGGTTTGGAGACTCCGGGTAAATCTAAGAAGACTGAATCGTAGGACCGGCCGACACCTGAACCTCAAACAAACCAGCGAAGCTTCGACTCGAATCCCTAGGCCTTCGCCCTAAACCCGGAAGCTCACGACCTTACACCCCCACGCAAACACCCCCTCAAAAAACAGAAATCCCCAAGACCTTTACCCCTTAACCCTGAACCTTGTAAGGTATCAAAGTTTGAGAACACAACCCTAAGTGTGCTAAACAACTTTTGGGCCCCCAATGAGAAACATCGCTACCACGGCCTGATGCGGCCAACTGCCCCATGAACCCTTCGAAACCCCATTACCACCCAACGAGCTTGTATGCAACTTGAACAAGTTCCCCCATAAGATCCAATTCAGACCCAATAAACCGCTTATAAGAAACCTCGTAAGCCCTGACAACTCAGGAGAAAACCACACGACCAAACAAAAATAAAAACCTATGCCACCTTTTGAAATCACAGGGCAGCGCGGCTTCGGCAACATGGGAACCGGCTCGACACTGGTCGAGGGATCGGCCAGGTTGGCTGTGAGATGCCTCCGGGGTATGGGTAGAGGTCGAAGGTTTTTGGGGGTTTTGGGGATTTAGGGTATCGACAGGTTCAGAGCTTTCAGGGATTAGGGCTTGGATTATAGACATCCGTCTGTGGGCTTTAATGTCCTGCTAGCCTTCACTGATTGAATTTGAAGGCGCAGGAAGTTTATTCTTAGGCTGCTGTAACGTTCTGCGTGGAGTTCCTATATGGCTTTTGCAGTATTAGTAGAGGAGGGAAGGGCTTTTGTAAGTTTCTTCTTTGGGATGTAAAGCTTCGAGGTCCAGGATTGTTGGGGAGCGTATGGTTTTCGGGTGAAGGCTTTGAGTAGGTCAGGGTTTTGACGGTTTCAAGGGTTGAACAGGTCTAGAGTTTACGAGTTTTGCTTGGGGCTTGGAGGGTGCCCGGTGTGGCTGAGTACTACTACGTCTGGGAGAGAGCTTGGTGCCTGAAGCCCATATTGCACATGAGTTGTTCTCATTTTCGGATACATGCAACCGGCACGCCCAGAATCTGAAACCCGGATGGATTCAAGCAAAACACAAACCGAAGTGGACAACTCCAGTCACGGTACTTGCATTTTCAAGCCAGCTGTCATTCCGTCTCGTGACACAAGTTCTCGTCACATACAGTACATCTGAAAGTACACTGTAAGTCGAGGTAGGCCCTTGGTCCTAAACCTGACGCAAAAGCTCCGCAGTGCCTGCGAGCGCCAGATCGTGTCAAGACGACGCGGCCCATGAGACTGGCGGCGGGTTTCCAGAAATTCGGTGGCTCCATTAATGAGAACCCTACTCCACAACACCCCGAAGGCCGTTCGGTTTAGGGTCTATGTGCCCGTTGCTTTCCGACTCACCGAAACCCCAACCCTCGGCATGTGCGACGGCATGCTCAACGCCGCGACCAGCAAGATACCACAGAGGAAGTATCATTTAATAAGGTTTTGGGGGGTCTAAGAACAGGATCAGTTTTACTCATTACTTCAGCTTCCATGTTCTACTATGGCTGTATGAGCACCACAAGGTAACACTATTATTCCAGTTATTCAGACGCCTAGCATTATGCAAGCTGCGGCCCGTCAGCGCGCGCTGCAGGAAGATCAACTGAAGCTGAGGGCAGTAGCAAGCCTACAGTTATGGGGTTTTGAGAACCCTGGCCCCCAAACAAACCCGAGCCCCAAAGCCCTAAACCCGGGACTTCGCGCCTTACATTAAACTCGATGGTCACGGGCTCTAAACCCTAAGCTTAAGCCCCAAGCCCTATACTCCTGCGCATCCGTCAAAGACAGGGGGCACATCTCAGCAGAGCCCCGTTCGGGAAGAACAAACCATTGTGCTAAGCCTCGAACCCAGGTGCGCCGTGTGAATCCTTGCTCAGACCGCTTGAAGGATAACACTCTGTCTCTGATACAGTTTTGCAGGTTCTACTTGGAGGTTCATGGGTAGTTATAAGTGGAGTTATAAGTCCCCTAATATAGGTTATAACTACAGTTACCCTACTTATAGCCCTACTTATATGAGCCCTAATGAAAGAAAATAGGCCCGAGGATAGGGGCCTGACTAACCACCAATACTCCCTTAGGGTTACTCATTATATTTGTACCATAATTATCCCAAAACCATGCTCTAACTAAGTGTTAACTACACTACGTAGAGGATTCGGGGACTTAACAACTCAGGTTTTAAGTGCGTTAGTTGGAGGTTAGTATATTTAGCGACCTTGCTGGTATCCCACTTACTACAGCCCGGACCCTCCAGTAAACCTTCTAAACCTTTTATTGCAGGCGCCTATCTTAAAACCTTTATCGTAACCTCCTTTATAGGCCCTTGTAACAGGAACCGTCAAAGGAATCCTAGACTAACTATGAACTGGTAAGGCCGATAAGTGACCCCCGCCAGGCCCCGCCTGTCCAATGCTTGCGCAGCAGCATTGGGATTCCTTTCAAGACTGTCTGGTGCTTAGTAGGGAATGGAGGAATGGATCCCTATGATAGTCCCTTAAGGTCTTTTATAGTAGTCCCTATAACCCATTCCCCCATTCCCTACTAGTTAAGCACCAGACAGAAGAGGTTCCGCTGTGGGGATCTTGGAGAAATTTCGAGTTGTTGTTAACATGGGTTTACTTCGCGGCTGTACCCGTCCGAAGATGGATTTAGTAGGGCTCAACAGTTTAGGGTTCAGGTGTAGGATAGGACCTGTTTCTGGAGTCTAGTCCACCTTTAAAGCAACATTTTTTGACGTGAGGTATTTACAAAAAGAGACGAGCCCCTCGTCTATGCACAAGAATCTCTGACGTCGGTTCTGCTTGGGGACTGAATGCAGCCTCTGCCGCATTCACGTACGGCAGAACACTTGCCAAAATGCTGTTGCACCCAGGTTATTCAGGCCGACGTAGGCATCTTCTGCAGGACTCCCAGAGGCTTTCTTCAAAGCTTCTATACCGGGGTCTATAAGGGTTCTGCAGGGGCTGTGTTGAGGCTTGGGTTCTGGATTCCCTTGAACTGTTAAAGTTCTATTTTGAACTCTAGGGTCTTTGTTCTTGAAATTTCGCCCAGCTAAACCTTATATCGGAAGGTGAGACTGCACACCCGAAGCCCGGCAAATGACTTCCACGTCAAGCCTCCGGAGCACGTAATCGAAGGTTGAGGGTACGGATACAGTAGCTTGAAAGCCCCGAACTGAAGGTTACCCATGTTGTCCTTCTGAACGAGAAACCAGGAACCTACACTGTAGACCCCGAAGCCTACACCTTGAACCTCAAAACCTGCTGTGCCCTAAATCTCTGTCCCCGAAACCGTCACAAAGCTCGAAATCCGAAAATTCCCCAAGCTGCAAGCCCCAGAATCTCGAACTCAGGGACCAAAAAACAAAAACCTCTACAACTAATGAACCCGACAACCTCGACGGCAGCCCTCCCAATGCCATCCCGGGTGCATGTACTGCAGGATGGCCCGGCAAGTCCATCCTGCATGCCCACAAAAAAAGTCTATAGAGCCAACAGTTTGCAACTTGGTTATCGGAACGATTTTGCTGGGCTTCCTTCTTTGGAGCTTCCGGTTCGGAGTTCGGGGGCAGCGACCTTCGAACCTTTCTCGCTTCTACTGCGGGGTCTGCTTCCTTCGTCGGGCATTGGAAAGGAGTCCTAGGGACTTGGAGGTCCTGGGCTTCCTTTGGGTTGTGGGCCTTCGGGGGTCTTCGGATTGGAGGGGATTGAAAAGGCTTTGAGTTTTTGGGCTTAGGGGGTCTAGGGTCGTCGGATTCTAGGGATTTAGCAAGGCTTGTAAAGGGCTTTGAGTTCTTGGGCTTTGAGAGAATGTTAGGGATCTACGGAGTTTAAGGGACTTCGGGGGGCCCAGGGTTGCAGGGTTCAGGGTGGAAGGGAGGTCGGGCTTTGAGGGTCGTTTGAGCCGACTGCAAGCCCTCAGAAATGTCGATCGCATCCCAGTTGGACCCTGCATGCCCATAATGATTAAGGTAGATGACACGCACTACCCATATGCATGTAAAGTGGGGAAGCTCAATAATGGTGGGCTCCGGTGCCTTCAATTACATGAAACCCCTACACCGGTTTCGAGGTTACGGGCGCAAGGTTGGAACTGTTTCGAAATGGGCTTTCTATGCGCTAGACGTTGCAGCAGGAAGCTCAGAAATCAAACACCCGAAAACCTTACTAAAGAATCCGTGAAGCTCCATATAACACCGTTCTGATCCAACAGGCAACCTTGCTACATCTCAGGACTCTGCATGAAACAGAGCCAAGTCCTAAATAGAAAGCACCCAACTTTGTACCCGAAACCGCAAGCCGCTGACCCCGAGCTCCACATTCACGTCCCGAAGCGCCTCCATCCGTCGACGGCAAAATCTTTACCTCAGGATACAGTACTTGCAGGGTTTTATTAGGGATTTGAATATTGGGTGCTATCCGGCTTTGTAGGGCTCCATAAGGGCACTTGAAGTCTTAGCAGGCTCGAATAGTCGAGGATTCTGAAGGGTTCCATAAAGGTATTTACTGGTCACGTAGGGCTTCATATAACAGGTATTTGAAGGTTTGATAAAAGTTTTATGAGGGCGTTTTGATGTGTAAAAGGATCTTGTTACACGTTAAAGGACTCTTGCAAGAGATTTTGGGTTCGTTTCGGGGGTTGTTTAAAGGTCCTTATAAAGCAAGGACCATTGGGAATACGCTTCCTTACCAGGAGGTCCTAACCAAAAAGGGATGCGCATGATAAGGTTCGAGAAGAGATATCAAGTTCTTTACGGAATTTCATAAGGTCTCGTGTTTGTTTAGGTGCAATGGAACGGACTTTACGACCATCCAGCCACGTCGGCCTACACAGGTGAAACAGATGACCATCTCACAAGACTTCACCTCACGTTCCTCGACGAAGCCAGAGCACAACGAACTTATGTTAGACGTCACCACGTGGTTCAGGAAGGGGATCACCATGGCGACGACCATCAAGATTCGGTTTAGGTCTTCGGGATTACCTGAAGGCTCAGGGTTTTGGATTTCGGGTTTGGGCGTGCTAGAAGATTGATCTGCAATCAGGAAATCTCCTGTCAGGAGCTTTAAGGTCGAGTTGAAGGTTCAGGGTCTGATAGTTCTTGGTTGAGACATACATGCATCCGCAAATCTGTACTTCAAACCCTAAGCTAGCAACCGAACCCTACACGCCCGAATCCGATGCATTAATCTAGACTGCCAAACCCTGCTTGGAGGTTCATGGGTAGTTAGAAGTGGAGTTATAAGTCCCCTAATATAGGTTATAACTACAGCTACCCTACTTATAACCCTAACTACCCATGGAACCTCCAAGTATGACCCCTTATAGATCCCCTTTTAGGATCCCTTATAGAACCCTCTTATAGATCCCCTACAAGGGCCAGTTACCCTACTTATAGCCCTACTTATAACTGCCCATGAACCTCCAAGTGGAAAACCCAACTCCCGAGCCTCTGGTGGCCGTACGTAATCCTAGACCTTAAAAGTCCCCTAACCCCTAAACCCTAAACCCTAAACCTTAAACTCTAAACCCTAAACCCTAAACCCTAAACCCTTAACCCTATGACGTTGCATTCCCAGCCACGCCGACTAGCCTCTCAATATCCAGGGAGTCGTGAAACACTTTCAAGTCTTCGGCGGTCCACTCTGCTGGGACCTACAAAGGTTGGGGCCAGGGCATAGTCTTTGATTTTCAACGGTTCAGGGCCATGAACAAGTACATCAGCAGATGGAGAGTGAGAGCAAGAGAGAGAGAGAGATACATGTACATATATATATATATATGTACATATATAAACAAGAAACTTATATATACATATGGATAGTATATACACATGGATAGAGACTATACAGAGATAGGTAGCATTTTCGCCTAGTTGGCTATTCACGGATTTCAGGTTGAGTGGACGGGGCGATGCTAATTGCCACTTATTGAAGCCGCGGGACGAAGCGTGTGCGAACTCCGAGCATGATCCGATGAAAACAACAACTGTACCAGTGACCAAGCAACGACGACGACAACGATGACCACTGCTGCCGCTCTTCTACTCTGCCTTTTACTTTCCTCCTCCTGCGCCTCTTCCTCCAACCCATGTCCTAGATCTTAATAACCAAAACCCCGGATCCCCGGAAAGTCTAGACACCACTACATGCGATAACCCCAAACTTGAAGGCCTGGACTTGGTCACTTTGAACCTGAAGCTTTACTAGATATCCGTATCATGGTAAGCTTAAGATCCTAAACAAAAGCCTTTTTCAAGCCTGGAAAGCACCGTTGTACTAACTCACCTGAAGGATCAGGGGAGCTTAGTAAGTAAGGCTGTAAGTAAGGTAATTGGAAATAAAGTCACTTGCAGCTCCAATCAAGCCTATTCAAGGTACTTGGAATCTTACGTACTTAGTCCCATGATCCTCCCAATAGTTTTCACCACCCAAGACAACTCTTATGGAGCCCTGACAAACTGCGATAAAGCCACCTAAACCAAACAAAGCCAAACCCTTATGTGCCCCTATAGAATAGCACCATGTAAATTCCGAATGGCAAGAAGACACAAACCCAGATTGAAACTCGAACAGCGATCCGGTGCCTGGCCAAGAAGAATAACGGCACTGTCCTGGTCCACGGTGTGCTTTTGAGGATTCTTCAGAGTGTCGGGCTCACGGGTTGGAGGGTCTTGGGTTCCGGGGCTTTGGGGCAGGGTTATTTGGGGGTTCATGTCAAGACTTTACAAAGGGGGTCTGTATATGGGCAAGGGGCTCCGATTATTTTCGTCGGCTTTTTGAGGTTCGTCAAGGGTCAATAGAGTTTTGGTCAGGCTTTTACCATGTTTCAACTTGGATCCAGGCGTTTTCGCTTTGAGGGTGAGGGTTTGGTGTTGGGGCTTAAGGCTTTCCAGTTTCAAGACTTCTAGTTGCAGGGACTCCGGCTTCCTGCAATGCGGGCACCAGCCCTGGCTGTCCAGCACACTGTGTGGAGTTGCATCCCAGGAGTGTCCAGGTTGAAACTCCCAGCGGACCGTCTTGTTGTTCTTATACCGGTCCGCCAGGCACTTGCCACCCATGCTTGCGGCATGGTCGCGAAGTCGATCGCGCATGCTCTGCTCTATGGCAGTTGCTTTTTTCAAGAGTTTTTGATCCTCCACGAATCTGCATACTGACAGTCTCCTGGTCTTCAGCAAAAAGGAGGCGGCAAATGCTCCAGAAGCCGCGACTGCAGCAGCTCGTGACGGACACTTGCTCCCGGCCCGGGCTCCCAAAGACGGTGCACCAAACTCCCGCTGAAGTCGGGCGAGCTTTGTGCACACATCAGGGAGTGCACGAGCATGCCAACGGTTCTAAAGAGCACCTGCGTGCCAAATGCTTGCGAAGAAAACTGATTCTGAAAGCTTTTGCATAGCCTCAAACATGAACCCCCAATCTGGATGAAGTCTGCTCAGTATCCTCCCGAACTTGTTTGGACTCGAGATAATGGATTGGGAGATATTCAGTCCTGATCTTGCGCTCCTATGGGTTTCGGACTTAGGGCTGGAAGAACAGAGGACTTCGGACTTATGCCTCGGGGCAGCAGCCTCAACCTACTTGTAAATCCAAGCACAGATACCGACAAACTTGGATCTTCCCAAACAAGACAAGACCTGCAGTCGCAGTCAAAGGCAGGTAGCAGTAGCAGCGAGAGTAGCAGTAGCGGCAGTCTGGAAAGTGGTTCGTGTTGACAAGCCCTTTGGCCACCACACAATCTGCACCACACTTGCCAAACAAACCTTCAGACTCACTGGAACATGAAACTCCCCAAGGCTGCAATCTCTCGCCCGATGAACACCAAGCAGTCGAGATGTCAAGTGCGACAACGTGCTAACATGCCAATTGCAATCATCACCATATGGCTGTTGAAGTTAAGCATTAGAAGAAGTGATGGGGGAAAGCGTGAGGGGCAACAAAAACATCACCAGTGTATAGGCAAGCATGGCGGCAACTGTCGTAGCAGTGACAATGCCAGTAGCACATGGACCGCAACAAAAGCATCAATGAAACAGGACTGCCCGGTCCTGTTGCGGCTGCTGGTTCATCATGGCTGGCGCCGTTGCATGGAGGAGCACCGACACCTGAAGGTTTAAGGATTCGGGTTTGCAGGCTTACCTTGCTTTCTTACGCCTTAAACCATCCACCTCTTCTACTTGCTGCCGGGTTCTCTGCGAGAACTCCAGGCATCTCTTCGGCGTATATTGATACAGGGCTCACAGTGTTGCTTACTCGACTGTCAGAAGTTTTGAGCCCAAGGCTTTTTCGCGGGTCGCCCAAACAACTAAAGCTCACAGCCCAAAATCAGTCAGGATCCAGAAACCCTAGACTACCCAACAAACTCCATTTAAAGGCACCCTAAAGAAGGGGGTAATTATTCTCAAAACCATTATGGCTTTTAGTGTTATTATTGTTATTATTATTATTAGTATTATTAGTATTATTATTTTTAGTATTATTATCATTATTATTATTTTTTTTTATTTTTATGAAGATGATTACTACTATTATTTTCCTGATTACTATTGGTTATTTCCTGTTCTTGTTGTCATTATTCTTACCAGTTCTCGCATCGTTTCGCTGAGTCTTCGAGTTCCCTTCTGGAAGACGCTGGAGCTCCCGAGCTGGCCTCTTGAAGGGCTCTGGGCCCGGCGATCTCCACTCCTGGGGGTTTAGGGTTTAGGGTTTAGGGTCTGGGCAGTGCAGCTTCAAAGGGTTTTTTTTAGGGCTTGTAGTAGGGTTTAGGGTTTTAGGGTTTAGGGCTTTTTAAGGGCTTGTAATAGGGTTTAGGGTTTTTGGGTTTAGGGCTTTTTGAGGGCTTGTAATACTGTAGGGTTTGGGGCTTTTGAAGGGCTTGTAGTAAAGTTTAAGGTTTTGGGCTATAAAGGGCTTGTCCCTGGGAGCCTAGGGAACCTGGGGTCTCAACGCTATGTATACAACACGTAGGGTGGTAGTGTTTTTTTGGCATTTTGTTTTGAATCGGATTCTGTTGGATGGGTTTTCCAGGATATTGAAACTTGGCACAGGCCTTTATGAAATTGTGCAGGGTCTAATCTGAGTTAGAAAAAGAAGGGCGCAAGCGAACTCCCAAAAGTACCTGGAGTTTCACAAGGGCTCTAGACTTCTCACTCCGAGGTCAAGCTTCCGGGCTGCCGATCAGGAGTCGGCAGGGGTTTTTTCAAGGGGCTGAGGGGCTCAAGGGTTTGCAGTTCCGGGTTTTGGTGGTGTTTAGCGCTCAAAACCTGTGTGAATTGAGATTGGGTCGATCCGGCTTTCAGTAACACACTAGGCCTCGGGTTATGTCTACAGTCTAGTACAGTTCAAGAAGGCTTGCCTGGCAGGGGATCCGAGGTGGCACAAGGTTTCGACAGCTTTTCAAGTGGCATCCTCGGGGCTAAGATTTCAACATGCTAGAACAGGGGCCTCAACACTTAGAATGGGTTGTCGGACCCCCACGTTATGACGCGATTACGACCCGACCCCGGAAGCCTTAACGCAGAACCCCAAACCCAGTCCGAGCACTCCAAAACGGGGTCGTGTTGCATCTGTGGTTGAGGGTTCCGCGTCTCTTGAACTGGTGAGATGGGCAGGGTTTCCTCCCAGCCCTTTAGGTTATGCCAAGCGCATTCTGTTTCGAAGCTGCCGGCCCGACCATCTCAACACAACTCTTGCGCGCTCCTTTCTGCGTGCAGGACAACTCAGTGTACTCGCTCAAAGTACGGACTATGGTGGAAGTGCGCATAAGGATTATGAAGGGAGTTGCTTGCCCTCGTGAACAAGCACCGTTGTGATCCTGGGAATGTAGGGCTGGTGTTTTCGAACCTGAGACGGAATTGGGTTTAGGCTGTTGGGTCTAAGGTTTTCAGGGCTTAGGATTCCCTGAGGCACCAAGTGCCACATATGCATCGGCATTGGGGCGTCGGCGGAGCGGCCAGTACCTCCCATTGTGCTCCACCGGCAAGTCGATCAGAACCTGGAGAGACGCCATATAGATGGATAGATACATAGCTAGGTAGGTAGGTAGGTAGGTAGGTAGGCAGGTAGGTAGGTACAGTAGGTAGGTAGGTATATATGTATAGATATATAGATTTCAAAGGGTCTCTATCATAAATGTAAGACCTTACAGGCTTATGTTTGCGGATTTAAAATCCAAATTAGGGTCGCCGTAGCATGAGCTTCGGGTTCGATCTGTTGGTTATGATAGGGTTGTACACCGAAGAAGGTTAAAGGTTACCTGAGCTCATGGTTGTCGGACGTGTTTCTTGGAGGACTTCTGGGCGGTTTAGGGTTGCAGGAACTTCGTGTTTGGGGCGCTTAGAGTGAAGGATTTGGGTTTCATGGGGAGGCACGAGGCCCACCCCGCGTCGGAAACGTCGAAATGTAAATCTGAATTCCCAAAAGAACTTGAAACCCGAAGTTCTAAATCCTAAAGCCGCAAACCCAAAACCCTGCACCCATGTGCGAATCCAGAAGCAAGAACGATGCAGGGTCTCTATCAGACCTCTCTACTTCCAAGAACTCCCAAATCTCTCACTGTGGTGTTCTCCCACAGGTTTCATTGAGCTAAACTCCTTCCAGGCCCTCCTTCGTAGGTCGGGTTTAGGGTTGGCATCAGAAGCTCCTTGCAGGGTTAGAATGAACCCGAAGGCCCCAGGACCCGAACCCCGCATCTCGAATATAGGGGCCTGAACAATTAGAATNNCCCCCCCCCCCTAAAAAAAAAAAAAAGAAAAAAGAAAAAGAACATAGTCTTGGCATTTATTTGGGCCCCTACATCATGCAGTCATGGGAGGATTCCAAGGATGAAAAGGATGCAATGCAAGCGGTTCTCAGTCGACACAGACCGGTGGTCGCAGGACGCAGCTGTCCATGATAAGGCTATTTGTCATGGCAGCTCAAGAAACATGAGTATTTTTTCATGTGCTAGAGATGACCCTGACGTTGTGGTTGAGCTGCACTGCCACGATGAGGGATCTTCGGTGATCGCACGAAGTCTTCGTTGCTGAGCCTCAAGATTCCCTTCCTCTCCTTTCCATTCCTTAACATCATCGTCTGCCTCGTAATCGTTTCCAGTACTACCGGCTTTGTTGATATCACCATCATCATCAGCATCAGCCCTAAACCGTGTCCTCTGCATCAGTACAATCTCAAGGCCTACGAATCGCTCCCCGTTCCGCCTCCAGCGCGCTCTCTGCGTCTGCAGAGCTAAGATAGGTGAACAGAGCGCAGCTTACCTGCAACGAGAGAGGCCAACATCCTTTGTTCAGGAATATACTTCAAAATCTAGAGGGATCCGGAATCTGATTTAACGTAGCAAACCTCTATTGCTTGCGGATGCCGGAGGCTTCGATCCTGGAGTGTGTCAGCCCTGGAATGCTGGATGTGCAGGAGGAGCGAAATCTGGAAACTATGAACTGCTTAAGTTCGTCAATCAGTCAGAAGTGACAAAACCCTACATCCCTCACACAGAGCACAAATCCCAGACTTCAAACCCAAAGCCTAAACCTGCAAAACCGAAGCACTAAACCCTCACCTCCCCCCTCACAACCCTTGTAAAACCATGCGCGCCCTTAAAGAACCTTCCGGACATCCTGAAAGGAACCCGTACTCGCAGCCACCGCCTCCTTGTTTGCATTGGCATTCCGCTGAACAAACCTTGCGACGAGACCGCAGGTACATAGGAGTCAGGCGTTGTTACCCTCAACCCCAAGTCCTAATTCAGGACACCTTTGAATTCTAGTACTAGGTGGGCTCTTTACAGCATCCTCTGAGCATAGTTCTTACAAGCGATCCTGTGAAATCCAACAAAGGAAAATTATGAAACAGTCCAGTGGCCTACTTAGCCAAAGCGTACCAATAGGGTTTCGGGGTATATTCGTTGGTGCAGAGGTTTGGACGTTATTCGGAGCGAGGGTCGTGGGTTTCGTGTTTAAGGACGGGTGTGTTTCAGAGGGCTTGGGGAAGAGCTTCGGGCTGAAGGGCTTTTCACATGTTAGGGGTTCATAGGGGCTGTGCAAGAAAGAGTAAAAGGCGCTTTGTGAGCGGGCTTTGTGTTTCAGGCTCTAGAGGGCGTAGGCGGTGTAGGGTTGTCGAGCTTAGGAATTATAGCACGGGGTCTAAAGTTTAGGATTTCGAGCTTCAGAGATGAGATTTGCGAAGCACAGACTCTTTACGGAAGTTTAACGGCTACTGCGAGATACTTGCTGACCACCACAGTCACGAAGGTCTTTCGGTACACCTACTTGATGGACATAGCCATAGCGAAGCTGCCATGAGGGATCATCGTGAACGGTGTAGTCAATGTGGCTACTACAAATCTGAGCTATCTCATGCATTGCATAAGTTTTTACGAACCACAAAGAATTGTATCTGTAGTTACCTGACCTACGACCCGATTTACCAGTTCCCCTGGTCCTTCAAGTATGAGTGCGAAACGCCGGTATCTGAATGACCGAGTCAACATAGACCTACCAGGATCAACTGCGGAGTTCGGCAGAATCCCCTCGCGGAACCCTTGTGCAACAACACCCGAAAACCCAACAGTATTGTGGGGGCCAGCATAATTAGACTAGGTCTTTGGGGCTTGCTTTACCTGACCGTGTGAAAGATCTCCATTGAACTATATTACTAGATATCCCGACCCTTATATGAGTTTCTCTGGCCCTCCGCACTATGCAGGTTTGGAAGCGTCACGCTTTGCTGGAAGCTCCCCGAGACTCTAATGTCCCTTAAATCCAGGTTTCGGGGGTACAGCACTTCACCAGGGGTTTACAGGGTTCACTGTTCTTTTATCAGGGTTCTCGTATTACAGGTACTCCTCATTATGATACATACATATATATATATATATACATATGCACAGTATAATCCTTTTTCATGTTATTTTTAGGTCTCTGCGTCCATGGGCTTTACACCCTGAGCCCCGGGCTGGTAGTTGATAGGCTTCGCCAGGCCATGTGCCATATGGAGACGGTCCATCTGACAATTGGAGGTTCATGGGTAGTTATAAGGGTAGTTCTAAGTCCCCTAATATAGATTGTCACGAAGATGGCCGTCTCTCAACCCAGGCTGCTATTTTTGCGGGGCATTTCAGTGCCTTGGAACTCCTGCCCCGGGACGTAATGTAATGAGCCTCATTTCAGTTACCATGGGGTTTTTTGGGGCTCCAAAAAAAAGGAAGCCTTCCAGGGTTCCTTTAGAGGGAGGCCGTCAGGGTTGCCTTTTCTATAAAGGTGCTATCGTTTAAAACCGACTTGAAGGGCTCGATAGTTGCACTGCGTCTGCTTTCGACTCGTCTCAAGGGCGCTACATAAGGTTCCTTAAAAGGGACACTACAAGGGTTCTATAATGTAGTGGCCTTCGTAATTAGAATAGGTTTTGGAGTATATTATGCTATATTTATAAAAAGGAATCCCAAAACAGTACGGGTATAGGTTTTTGTGAAGGCCCCTGTAGTAGGGCTTCTGGGTCTTGGGTTGAAGGTTTTAGTTAGGGTTTAGGGGCTTTAGGGATTGGGGTTTTAGGGATTCTACACCCCTAAACCCAGCCAAACCCTTTCGGTTGTACAGGGGTTCTATGGGGCCTAGGGGTCTTTCCAGCTTTTGGTCTCTGGTTTCATACTGTTGATGGACAAAATCCTGCATGACCTTAAGGACCTTAAACTATGGGAATTATGGTATATTCCTTATAATGGGTAATGCAGGATTTTGTCCATCAACAGTATGTACTTTAAAGACCGTATGAATCCCATCTAGAACCAGTATAGGACCCGGTAGACCCTTCTAGCTTCTATCGGCTTACAGAGCTCCTATGAACGCTCATAAAACAAACGTTTAGAAAAACCAGTAGTTTCCTCAAGACAGACACGCCTTGTCTGCGGAGACCCCCTTGGGGAGGTCCACGATGAATCTGAGCTCAACGGGCTTTGGGGTTTGGGGTTTCAAAGGGTGCCATTTGAAGTCCTTAAATCCAAAACCCCAAACACCACCAAAACCCTAAACCGCAAAATCTAAACCCTAAGTCCTAAACCCCTACAGCCCAAGCCCTCTTTGAAGATCGGGATCCTATGAAGGATCTATAAAGGCCTGCGGCGTTTTATAAGTGTTGATAGGGATCTGTATATGTGTGTGGTGAGTGATATACTGGGTTTTGTAGGTGTTTCGAGATTGGTATAGGGGCTCTCTCCGGTTTTGTAAGGGTGTAGGCTTTTGGTTTAGGCACATAGAGGTGGAGGATCAGGGGACTTCGTAAGTGAGGCTACAAGTACTTCAGCCCCGGCCCAAAGTACTTCTAGCTATTGCTGCCTTACTTCTGCTTCTACGTACTCAGTCTCCTGACGCTTTAGCCCACCTTACTTCCCCAATAAGCCAGGGGCATAAAAAGTTGAACTTTCAGATTACTACTAAATTATAAGAACCCAGAAAATTTAAAGGTTGGGCATTGGAGAACTAAGCCACGCCTGAGTTCAGTCTTCCTCAAAGTCTCAGGGTTTCGGGTCAAGACTTGGGACTTAGTTGCACGAAGCCCTGAACCCGAAGCCCGCGGCCTGATCCAGCTACAAAGCCCTACACCCCAAACCCTGAAACCGTTAAACGGCCCAAATATAGGAGCCTTACTAATCAGAATAGGGTTTCGGGGTAACCATACTATAAACTTGTAATAAGGCGCCCCGGAAAAATAATATAGGTAATTATTAAGGCGCCCTATACTAAACCCTGAACCCTAAACCCGACCCCTTGACAAATTACTAAAAGACATGTGGGGTAGTTCTCTAACTTAGGGTCTCTCACAGAGAACCCAAACGAAGGCGGCACCCTTATCAAAAGGATCGCTCAAAGGGACCCTAGTTTGGAGAACTAGCCATGAAGCCATTGACCCTGAACCCATTGTATAGCCCTAAAGCCTAAACCCTAACCCTGAAGCCGTCACAAAATACAAAGGCACGAAGCCCTAAACCACATTGCCAGCGATCTTTGCTGCTCAGCAACAGAACATTTCGATCCTGGCCAGCCTGGCGCGGGGAGCTTGAGGGCTCCGTGTCTTCCTTTAGAAACAGGGCGTAGAGAGCCGGAGACATTCAGGGTGATTTGAAGATGAGGGTCAAATAGCTTGGGCTTGAAAACCAGGAAAGGATGCTTTCTGTAGGGACTTGGAAGGGTTTTGTGGAGTGTTTATGTGGGTTTTTCAAAGGCTGTGGAAGCTCTGGAATTCCCTCAAACCGAATCGGGCCTTTAGGGCTTCGGGTTTGGGGTCTGAAGTCTTGGGAGTCAAAGCTAGGCGTAGCCTATGTAGAACCTTAGAAAAGAATAGCAGGGTTTCATTTGAATTGAGTTGCCCTATTTTAGGGCTCCTACAACGATGATCCTGCTATGTGGGGCCTATGCTGAGTTTAGACTTCTGTATTTAGCGGGAAGATGCCGATGTATTAGCCCTGGCATTGTCACAGCTTTAACCCTAAAGCATAAGGGTTTCTGGTCTACGGCCTTGGGCCAATGGTTCGAGGTTGTCAGGCTTAGGGCCTTAGATTTTTACAGCTATAGATTTCTAGTTCATGGTTGGGGTAGTATTAAAAACTTAAATTTATATTCCTTATTGGGTTAAAGTACCCTTAAAAATGTAAAATGTTACCCAACTATGACAAAGATTTGGGGTGGAGGATTTACTAGTGCCATGCTTTTGATCATTGCCAGAACTGCCGAGATCTAGTTGCTACTTACATGCTGAGCCTTAGACCACGGTCCAATGCAGAGGCCTCAACAAGTAAAGGCAGGATCTGATCCGACATAAGCTGTCCAAACGTCCAGTATCTCATGCCAACAGCTGTTCCACTTGCCGTCTTGTCCCTGATACGAGCCAGAAAGTGCATACCACTTCAGTCAAAGCCACAATCTGCACACGACGATTTCGAACCGACAGAAGTATTTGGCCACATTCACGATCAGGTCCGCAAAGATTGGGCAGATCGCTTCCCCTGTCAAGCAGCTTCGGCGACGACATACTTTGTTGCAGAACATTCTGCGACTAAATGCCGTGCATCAGCAATCTGGCTCAGGATGTTGCCACTCGCATCAGTTGCATCTTCACGGCCGCCCTTATGAGCCCGCCAACGCTGGCATCTGTTGCTCATCGTAGCCTCCAAGCTTCCCACCTTTCTGAAAGCTTCTGCCGGGCTCAAGTAGAATCGGGCATTTTGGTGTCGTAGGCTATGCTGCGGTAAAACGAAAGTTTGACCTACTCCTTGTTTCGTCGACCACAGGCCCCCATTCCCCCATAGGATCCTAACAGGACCAGCCGGCTACTCCTCCGGAACATCAAACTACTAATTGTAAAACGGGGTATAAAGCACTCCGCGTAAATCGCACTTGTTGGTACCCTGCTACGTCGCAAGACGTCTTAGGACAACAAAGGTCCAGTAGGTGAAAACTTTTGCCCTCCCGATGCAATATAGCGGCCTTAATAATCAGAATAGGGTTTTGGGGGATATTATACTGTAATTATAATCGGGAACCTCCCAGAATAGTATAGAAAATCACTTAGGCCTCTATATTAAGCATACTCGGGACCCCTCAGGATTGTTTTTTGAAGAACCCCTGCATCAACTCTGCCTCTTTCTGTGTCCGTCCGTTCATGTTGGGATTGTTCCTAACCCCGACACTTCGAACCGCTCTAAATAAAGCCAGAGGTCAATGCCTGAAACACACACACACAACCCCAAACCCTCTCCTTCCTAAAATCCTGAGCCCTGAGCAAAACTCGCCTGGGATGCCGCAAAAGCCATGCTCGACTGTCTCGCGGCCCCCGCGGCGTCATACAATCGTCGCCGAGTGGGCCCACGGCCGGCTCAGGTTAAGGGAAAGTTGGGGGTTTAGGGTTCCGTTAAGGGATCTATAGAGGTTTCGATCAGGGTTCTATAGGAGGTTCAGGGTTTGGGGCTAAGGGCTTTAGGCTTTGGGCCTTTAAGGCTTCAGGTGTTTCGGGCTTTAAAAACGCTGAGGATAAATTGAAGGATTTCGGGCGTAGGGTTTAAGGGCTTAGCTGCCGACACACTCGGCTGCGACGGAGCAAACTTGAAAGTCGCGGAGTGCACCTCAGGCGGAGAGGCACAGCGGAGGCACAGACGCCTCGAGACGAGACCTAATGTGTAGCTTTCTGTGAGCCGACAATCTACGGGTTAGCGATAGGAATGATTCAAGTTTAAATATTTGGGGATCCCACTATGTACTTCTTGAGAGGGGTGCTTAAACGTTAACCCTAGTCTCTGAGCTCTAAACCCGTAAATCCTGAACACTAAGCCCCTAAACCCCAATCCCTAAACCCTTAACCGAAATTTAATGCAGTATCCCTCATCCCCAAGTGTTTAGGGGTATATTATACTATATCTATAATAAGGAACCCCCAAAAGAATAGAGGTAATGATTAAGGCCCCTACATTAGTCTCCAAAACCGAAAAGCCTAAACAAACCTTCAGGTCGGAGATGAGGTCGGGACCTTGGTGCTGCTACTCAGCAAAGCTACGTCCTCCTGGGTGTTCGGGGTTTAGGATTGAGGGTACTTTGTCTTCAACTGTTAAGGTCTGCGGTGCTTCATTTTGGGGTTTACTAATTAACCTGATGTTGATTAGTAGCATCACCATAATGGTGGTGTTTATGGCGGCGGCGAGTCTACATGATGATGATTGCGGCTGATGCTGCTGTCAATGATGATGACGACAAAGATGATGAAGAGGCACTATTCTGCACCCAACAAGCCTAGGTTGAGGAATTTTCCTTACGTTTCAGACAACATTTCTAATCAGAGGCTCATGTCGTAATTGAAGGGCAAACTAGGCTCTCTGGTAGCGCATGATTTGGAGTCCTGAAGCCCTTGGAAAGTCGTGAGCAAATAGAGGAGAGTCACTAGAGTCTTCGGGTTCGCGGTTTCGGAATTCTGGTCTCAGTCTTCATGACCCTACACCCTAGCAATTACGTAAGGGCAGCCCAGGGAATAAGAGTATTAGTAACTGTTCAAGCTTCTATCTTGCAGGGTTCATTGAATAATCCACTCAAGGTGGATGTAAGACCCTAACCAGGACGATACGCGTCCTCAGACATATCCGGATGTCTACTTCACCATGCCGTAACACGCAGAAGCCCAACACTACTCGTCATGCCCCCCCCTAAACCCTAAACCCCTAAACCCTAAACTCATGGCTCCCCTACAGCGCTCATGGCTCTCCTAAACTCGAACCCCACAAGCATCGACTCGAAGCCTTAAGACCAAGCCCTCCTCGACCCTAAACCCTCAGCCCTATAGTCAATTTCTGTTTGAATAGTTGGAATAGGGTTTTGAGCTCCTTTCTAGTATGATTCAAGCAAGGAACCCTAAGGAAACATATTGGTATGTATTTAGGCTTCTATAGTAGGGCTCTCCTCCCCACCAATGCAAGGGTTTAGGGGGAAAGCGTTGACCAATGCGCTTTTCCGCTCTTTGTTCTCGGAGGCTGTTGCGGTTGCCGCAGCACACGCTGCTGCCTGGAATCATCGGCCTCAATCGGGCTGGTCGCCTTTCTCCAGTTTTGAGTTTGGGGCCTACAGGTTTCTTCGTATCAGTGTCGAAAAGTGCGGTCCCCATAGCAGGGATCCTGCGATTGGTCTTTCTTCGGGGTCTCTGATGCGTCGAAACTTACGTACTGGGACTTGAGCATGCGTCGAGGCCTCAACACCACCCCTGGCTATCATCATACTTTGGAAGCCTACATTCGAGTAGTTAGTAATGCTTTTCTTTGGGGCTCCTTGTTTTTCTACAGTAGCTTTTTTATACCCCCACGCCTCTTCAACCCCGCAGTACCCTGCACCCTAAACCCTGGACCCCAAAGAGGTCTAGAAAGTAAACCCTTACTCGGTATAGGACCCCTTAAACGGATCTACTTTTAGATCCTCCAACAAGGGGTGGGAGGATCATAGTTTGGGGGCCTCAAGAGTCAGGAAAGTTGAGTTTTGGGGTCTTTTCAGCTATGCTTGAAATAAGGTACCCTAAGCAAAGCAAGAGTAACAAGTACTGCTGATGGACACAATCCCGCACTAATGCAGGAGCCTAAATAAGTACCAATGTTCCTTATTATGATTGGAGTATAATGGGCCCCAAAACTCTATGCTATTTATTAAGGCCCCTACATTATAGAGCCCTTATAGTATCCCTTTTGAAGGAACCCTATTCTAACTATTAAGGCCGTTATCGTACCTTCAATCAAGCTTTATTGTTGGTCAGCGGAAGGGGTGCTGGGGTCGGCTGTTCGGGGCCACAGCCCTGACACCTGAAAGCCCTAAATGCCTACAGCCTACATAGTGTAGAGGCCTTAATAATTAGAATAGGGTTTTGGGGCCCATTGTACTGTAATTATAATAAGGAACCCCCCAAATATTATTGGTAACTATTCAGGCCCCTAAACCCTAAACCCGTGAACACATAATTTGGAGCTTGATCCTTTACAAACCTCACGAGGGTCTCTCCCTTTTTGCGATCCCTCGGAAGTCACCCTAATCCCTGTAGTGTGCTATAAGACCCAAACAAGTGCCCCGGCACATGATACTCCTGATAAATTGCAGACGAAGGGCAGTACCTGCGGCTTACCTTGGCCTCTACGTCATTGTAAGTGCTGCTTTCCTATTCATTAGACCATACCAAAACCCAACATCCCTAATGTTGAAAACCTATTCAAAATGTTCCTGGCTCTAAGAACACTAGCACGCACTACCCCCAGACCCTATCCTGATTATTTCCGACCCCATCCTGAAAAGAGATAGTAACTCTTACAGTATCCGAACCCTTCAGGATTAGAATAGGTCATTCGGAAGCCTCGAGCCCATACAGCGTCCCCTTGGATTAACCCTTATGAATAGAGCTCGTTAAACGGAACACTTCAAGAGGAACCCTAGTCTTACTGCTAAGGTCAAAGTACCCAAGAACCTATTCGAAATAGTGAGGCCCCAAAATCAAACCCCCAGTGCCGCTCCTTTTTCAGATCCCTCGGAAGTCAGGAACCCTTAAGAAGTAACCCTAAACCCTAAACCCTAAACCTTAAACCGTAACTGTTGTATACCTCTTGACAAGGAGCCCTGAAGGTTCAGCTCTGTTTTCAGGATCCGTGCCCCAACCGTACGGCCAAATAGATGGTAATTCGTATAGTACCCCTTACAGGAACCCTATTCCCTGAGCTTAAACCCAAAAGCCCCAAAACCCTGAAACCCCAAAACCCCAAAATCCAAAAATCCTGAACCCAAAGCCCTAAAACCCAATAACTCTAAAATCCAAAAACCCTAAAACCCCAAAACTCTAAAACCCAAAAGCCCTTAAACCCAAAAACCCTTCAACCCAAAAACCCTTAAATCCAAAAGCCCTTAAACCCAAAAGCCCTTAAACCCAAAAGCCCTTAAACCCAAAAATCCTTAAACCCAAAAACCCTTAAACCCAAAAGCCCTAAAACCCAAAAGCCCTAAAACCCAAAAGCCCTAAACCCAAAAACCCTTAAACCCAAAATCCCTAAACCCACCCCCCTCCTTTTTTCAGGACCCGTCGGAAGTCTCGGAGCCCGAGGTTTCGGAGGCTTTTCGCAAGCGGAGGCCCTGCAGTGCCCGGCAGCCCCGCGCGAGGAAGAGCTGGAGTAGACACAGGCCTCTGTTGAGGGCTTTTCTGTATATATATATATATATATATATTATATTCTTTTTTTTTATTATAAATATTTCGCTTAATTATATATTTTTTGGGGGGGAGGGGGGGGGTTGAAGGATTTGAAACAGGCTGTGTTTTGTTTTGAAGGCTTTTTAGACTCTAAACCCTTTCAACCAAAACCCCAAAGCCTCCCGGAAGGGCCGCAGTCTTCCGGAGGCCCAGGGAGGCCAAGCCCAGCAAGGCCACGAAAGAAGCGATGGGCAGGGAGAACCTGGGTCAAAAAAAAGAGTCTTTGTGGAGTTATAAGTCCCCTAATACAAGTCAACTCTAGAATGGTATCCGCCCTGGAGTGGGCTGGTGCTGACTGACGCTGGAGGCGGGGGGGATGTTCGTACTTATAGTTACCGATGAACCTCCAAGTATTGTAGAGTATAAATTAAAGTTATAAGGGCTGATACAAGGCTCTTTGTGAAGGGCTTGGGGAAGCGCTCGGGTTTAAATATACCCTTGGGCCTCAAAACGGAGGTATATTGTAAAACTTAGGGCTCTTTGAATGGTTTAAAGTGCAGGGTTTGGGATGTAGGGCTTAGGCTTAATAGAGAGGTCCTGGTGTAGGTATGAAAGTTTCATGAGCTAAAATATTACATGGGTCTTGATAAGCAAAGGTGAAACCTCTATGGTTGATAGGTGTCAATTTCAGGGTTTCCATGAGCTAATACCAGGCGATTATAGGGTCTTATTCGGTCCCCTAGGGGTTATGTGTATGTGTGTGTGTGCGCGCTTGTTTCTTCTTCACTGTTGCCTGAAGGGTCTTGACCAGGTATGTAAAACCGGCTTTATGATTTTATCCGGTGTGTCCTTCTTAAGGATATACTACATGTAAACCAAGACCAAGCTCCAAGATGGGCCTAGTAGCCAGGCCCTGAGAATCCAGCCAGGAAGAGGACCTGCGCAGCATCGTCGAAGTGGACAGATCGATTAAGGTCTCGGGCCCTGTCTACTTTCACACAAAGACCGCCCGACACTCGAGAAATCTAAACCTTTCACGCTCTTCTGACAGCTTTGATAGACCCACATGAAATCCTTTGTGGAATCCCTATGAAAGCCCAACCTGCTCCCAGCTCTGCGAGCACGATGGAAGGGCTAACCACGACCTGGTCGTTAGCTTTGGAGGGCCTTGACAGTCTTGGGTTTGTTTAGGTTTAGGGGTTTAGGGTTTAGGGTTGGGAATTATGGGTTTGTTTGTGCTCTGGTACGGTTTAGGGGTGTAGTGAACGTTTGAGGGAGGTTTAGGGCTTATGAAGGTTGAAAGTTCCAGCTTGTGCAAAATCCCTTGAGAACATAAATGCAAAAACGCCAAATTACACAAGTTAGCTGCAATAAGGTCACCAATATACACAGCATTCTGAAGAACCGGCTAGAAACAAGGAGGAAAGCCACCGTCTTGGTGATCATCTTCAAGATGAAGCAGCGCTCGTCTGCAGGACTTCGGCAGAGCAAGATCAGCAGCCTTGCTTCGTGCTCGCATTACTCATAGCAACCATAGACAACCTGTGGACAGAATGAAACTGGTTAACAACTAGCCACACCAACAATAATAGTAAGAGCAAAGGGGGATTTATAGCTATGCTAGTACTTTCAAGATTTATGTTTTTTATGCACAGTAGTATTGGTATTTTTCACAGTGTTTGCTTTTGATTTCTTGGCGTCACTCTGCGTGGCTGCTTATTCCTTGGGCTTGAAGCCACAAGCGTCTCGAAACGTGGCTCAAGGCCTCAGTCCTTGCCTCTCAGCCCCGAAGCCGAGCGAAAGACACAGGCCTCGACTAAATGATGTAGGGGCCTTACTAATTAGAATAGGGTTTTGGGGTATGTTATACTATACATATAATAAGGACCCCCCCAAAAAATAATATAGGTAATTTTTAAGGCCACTATATTCACCAAAAACAACGAAACAATGCCCGAGCAACCTGGCTCTCGCCAGAAAGGAGAGACCCTGGATGGCGGCAAAATACCTAGGCCGTGCAGTAACCCACTGGGAAAAAGTAAGAAGTTTTTTTGGGCCAAAAACTACAATAGCAACCCAGAAAGAAACAAGCAAAACATTAAACGTGTGCCAGTACATGTGTGCCAGTACATACCTTTGTGGGTTAGAAACATGCTAGTAGCAACCCCAAACAAAGCAAGCAAAACACATGAAGAGTACGCCACTGAGTTTAGGCGACTGAGCCGTTTAGGGCTTGGAGTTTTAGGGTTTCGGTATCCGGACAGAGGTTTCGGGTTTCTCCATGTTCCCCTAACCGAGAACATTCATAGACTCTATATCGAGTATATTGNNCAATATACTCGATATAGAGTCTATGATCTGATACGATATGCTCCGATGTAATGCTATGTGAAATAATGTGATGTAATACAATATAGCCTAACATAGCATAATACCATCTGGTACAATTTCTTCCTAACCTTAATGTTAAATATGAACATGATTTATGATGTTGAACGCGAGGGTGAATATTACTAGGAATATGACTACAAGTCTTAATGTAACGCAGTGTAATGTAATGTGAAATGGTGCAATAAAACCTCGAATGACGTTACATATGATGTTATGGCTTACATCATAAGATGGATAAACAGATAGATAGCTAGATAGATAGACGCAGAGACAGACAGATAGTTAGATTAGGCATAGGTCCCTTAAAGCGCGCGTCTGTGCAGCTGCTAAGATACCACTCACTTCTCAGGAACAGCGCGTCCAAGACCATCTCCAAGAGGGTGAGAGCGTTTAAAGGCAGCAGAAACCTGAGCCGAGAGGAGCTCGTGGGCTTTCTGCCGCAGCTCAAGGAAAAAGGGGCCCAGGCTTTATGTGTTGGTTTCTAGCTTTAAGTGGTTTCGGGCTTTCTGTGCATATGGTTTTCCATCCGAGCAGCAGAAAGGGTATGGTGATGTCGGGATGGGCCGCGCTGTCGATGTTTACACCTTGCGTCGCCGAATGCAACCCAAGCCTGCTACGTCCTGCGTGTTGCGTAGAAACCCTAAACACTAAGCACAATGGAATACCCCTAAGTTAAGGAGGTCACTTCGTAGATGGAACTGAGAAACCCACTGCAGTGTTGTCATCTCCTTCAATCGAGGGGTATTGGGCTCTCATACCCTATCAACGACAAACCAAACCTTATAACAATCTCCAGAAGCCTACTTGCAGGCTCATGGGTAGTTGTAAGTAGGATGTTAATTAAGGAAACTATAGTCATAACCTAAATTAAGGGACTTATAACTCCACTTACAACTACCCCTGAACCTCCAAGTAGGACCCCTTATAGACCCCTTATAGAACCCCTGATAGGAACCCTCTTATAGATCCCTTGGAAGGAGCCTTATAACTACCCAAGCCTCACAAGCATCGGGCTTTGGGCTCTCTGGGTGCCTGCCCGGGCAATGTCACGCAGTGCCGGTGTAGAGATGCCAGCGTTCAGTAGCACGTGGATGGCATAGTCCACCTTCCCAAAGAACCCGCCCTAAAAAACGGGAACTTCCCCTGAAGTGTAAGGGATCTGGCAAACTATTCAAGCAACACATTCCTTAACAAAGAGGTCGTCACTTTAGGGATCTGGCAATGATTCAAGGAACACATTCCTTGATAAAGAGGTCTTCACTTTCAGCTTGAGTCGGTTTGGGCTTCCTGGGCCTCCCATAACAGTTGAGACTCCAGGTCCTACTTCATACCCTGAACCCGAAACATAGCCCAAAGCCTTAAACATCCTAAGGCCTAAAACCCTAAACCCAATCCTCTAAACGTCTAAACCCCCCAAATCCTAAACATACATCCAAACCTTAAGCCCCAAGCGCTAAACCTCGGAACCTTAAAACCCTAAAGCCTTAGATCCTAGACCTTTCAATTTCAATCTCAGCCTTCGACCAACAATGCTGAGAGCCGTAGCGTCAATTTTTTAGGCCTCAACAAAAAGGCTTCAGGGCCTGCGGCTTAGCGGTTTTCTTAGGTCTGGGGTCTCATTCTTTCGAGGGCCTGGGGTCTAGTTTTTATTGTAGGGCCTGGGTTAAGTTTTTTGTTAAATACGGGCCTGGAGTTTAGGGTTTAGGGGGTAGGGTGTAGGGTGGTTTAAATTGAGAATGCGTCGACACAATCAGTTTTCCACTGCGATCGTCGTTGTGGCTGGTCGTGGCTGTTCTGCCTGCGAGTGTTCGGATGCTTTACGGCAACTACTGTTGCTGTTGCTTCTAACCTTTGCTAGGATCTGCCTCCAAAACTTTCCTCAGGGTTCTGTATCAAGCCCTTCACCCCCTCTAAGCCGTAAAATCCTACAGCCCGAACCTCAAACCCCAAATTGCCACATGCCCGATGCCCCAATTCTACAGCCCGAACGAGCTGTAACCGAAAATCCGGCAACATGGTAGGTACTGGCTCGGCCAACTTTTCGGCGATTGGAGCCCAAAACCCCTAAACCCTAAACTGTACAAAGCCTACCACACCAAACAAGAAACTTTCACAGCAACCCTAAGCTATCCTACCCCGAAATCAGAACCCCTATAAATGCCTATAAACTCCTAAACCCCCAACACGAGCCTCACCAAACTTGTCGCCAATCTCAGCGCGGATGCGCACGGCATCCGCATCTCGGGAGCACTCGGCGAACTCCACGGAGCCCTGGTCCTGTTTGGGCTTAGGGTTTTTTCGAGTTTTAGGGTTTCAGGGCTCTAGGGTTTTGGGGTTTGGGGTTTTTTAGATATTGTAGGGTTTTTGCATTTTGGGTTCGTTGACACTGTATCTTAACGGTCTTACAATACGATACGATTTCGTGCACTGTTTACACTATCTTACTTTGTGGGCATAGGGCTGTTATGCGGGCTTCAGGATTTAGGCTTGGGTTCAGGTATCCGCCGCTAGGCATCCATGTGAAGCGACTCCAGGGATTGAGTCATCGTGCGCAGGCGGCCTACCAAAACTAAGGAATATCCTTGCATAACCAGGGGCGTTGCACTCTGCAAGCTTCTCTTACTTGTACCTATAACCTCATGCTGACTTCCCTGTCCCAAAACAGAGGTCGTGTAACAGTCCTCCGAATCCCTTGAATCTATTCGCTTTCGGGCTTCTGTTACAAAGACCCTAAAAAGCTCACCTGGAGCCCGTGAATGCTGTGCGGCCTCTTGACGCCCTCCAAGAGCCCCAGAAATCCTGCGACAACTTTACAACTGCCTCATAAGAACCCTAAACCATTAAGGCCGTATACATCCCAGCCCTTATTAATAGACCCGTATAAACCACCTTTCAGAATCCCCTCTATAATCCCCTCATCAACCGTATTGCTATCCTATCACCCTACACATGGGATCTCCCTAAACCCGAAACCCTAAACCCTACATGCGGTTAAGGATACTTATGTTAAGGAGTCTAAACTATGGGAATTATGGTATACTTGCATCATCAACCGTATCGGTCTCGGAGGCCTCGTAGCCCTCCAAGAGCTGCGCGGCTGCCCGTCGCGTCGCGCTGCTGTTTACGCGGTCGACCTCCATCGAATGCTTGGAGGTTCATGGCTAGTTATGAGTGGAGTTATACGTCCCCTAATATAGGTGATAACTATAGTTATCCTTCTTATAACCCTACTTACAACTACCCATGAACATCCAAGTGGGGTTTAGTGATGAAGTTCTGTCTCGGGCTAGGGTTTGGGATCTTCGGGCACAGCAGAAGGCCTTAATGAGTAGAACAGGGTTCTTGGNNNCCAAGAACCCTGTTCTACTCATTAAGTATACCGTATACTTTTGTTTTTTTCATTTTAAGGTGCATCGGCTCTTTCCTACATCCGGCCTGCCTCATCGAGGGCATACGGTTTAGGGGTTTTTGGGCCTGGCTTCAGCCCCGGAGCCTGATAGAGGTTGAGGACCGATCCTACAGTTTAGGGTTTCGGGTTTTAGGGTTTTAGGGTTTCGGTTTTAGGGTTTTTAGGGTTTCGGGTTTAGGGTTTTAGGGTTAAGGGCTTTAGGGTTAAGGGTTTTAGGGTTTGGTCCTACGAACCGTGACTGTAAAGAACAAAGCTTATTAGTCAGGGCACAGGAGCCCCTTACTTACGTCGAAAAAGCTGACTACCCTAAAGCCTTAACAACCAGACCTAAACCGTACCCATAGCTCCAAACTCCACAGCACAGGGTTTAGGGTTTCGGTTTCGGGTTTGGCGCCAATACAGAACCTAGTATTTGTGAGGATGTTTTAATCAGTTTGTTTGAAGCTGACATGGTAGCAGCCTCCATCAAGCAAAACAAGGCGGCGGCGACCAGCCAGACGAAGCGCTGTACGACGAAGGGAAAAGAAGGTGGCGTGCAATGTAGGGGCAACCAGGATTGCATAGTGCTCCAGTTCACCTGAACTTCTTACAGTTTCTGATAAAGATCTTCACATAGAGTACATCTAAATCTAAACAAACCCCTAGATGGACTGAACATGTCTAACTTGAAAACATGGCTACTGCTCAGGAGGCCAGTTTCCAGCAGATAGCCGCAGGCCATTTCGCCGATGCAGTTCAGCGCCACTCGCAGACGGTCGCTTTGCATACTAGAGCTACAACCTGGGTTGGTCCCTCAACGCCTCTGGAAAAAAATGCGCAAATATGTACCTCTTAAGCCCAATAAGGGAAAATCCAACATGTCCCAAAGGCCTATCTACCTCAACCTACCAAAACCTACTTTTTTGTAGGGTCCCCATAAATTCCTCATTAGGGTTAATAATTAGAACATATTAGAACCTACAAAAAAAGTGGGGTTTGGTAGTTGAAGGTAGCAACCTGCAGCTGCAATCGCAACGCAAAGGAAGACAGGATCCAAGTTGAACGCCGGCGGCCAAAAGTGCGCCAGCATTCCAGCAAGCATTCCAAGAAAACCAAATGCCGAGACATAGCCTGGGTTAAAGGAAACTACAGGTGGCGAGTTTAGGGTATATAGGGCTTCTATAAAGTATATAGACCTTCTATAAGGCTCCTATAACGGTAACTACTCACCTGAAAATGTCCTAGACTGGGCTTCCCGGTGCCGCGGCCCCTAAGAAGCGAGGAAACCGATATTCTACAGTCAGCACACCGGACCATCAAAAAACAAATGGGCCTAAAGGGGACCCTAAAACCGAATCCCTGATCCCTAAACCTACGCAACCTAGTAGCAGAGAGCTCGACGGAGTTGATGCCGACTGGAGGCCTTAGCGATGATGATCACCTTGCCCGCTTCGGATGCCACGTAAGCCTCGTAAGCACACCAGAGTCGAGTGTAGACGCTCCCATGCCGATTCCTGGGTTCGTGTCTTACGGTACCACTTGGAGGTTCATGGGTAGTTATAAGTAGGGTTACAAGTCGGGTAACCATAGTTATAACCTATATTAGGGGACTTATAACTCCACTTATAACTACCTATGAACCTCCAAGCATGCCAAGGTTACACATTAGCAGTACCACGCTTCGATTACGATGACACTTTCAACTAAGTTTCCTAACAAGAAGCCCTATAAAACCTTTGCTCAACCCTGATAAAGCCTTGCTAACCCAAATAGAACCGTAATGGAACTCGCAAAATGCCATACACATACCCCTCACAGGACCTTTGGAAAGGCCACAACATCAAATTCCTTAAGCAGAGACCAGGACTCGGTATTACATATATAATACGTGTATGTATATGTGTATATATATATATATATATGTGTATACATATATAATATTCACACATACATATACAATTCACTCCTTAAGAAGAGACCAGGGCTCGGCACCACCAAGACGCAAGAAGCCTCTTGAAGCGCCAGGGCGAAAGGCGAGTGCTTCGGGGACTGGAGGAGGGCCCCAATGTCCTGGGTTGTTGGGTTTAGGTCTTAGGGTTTAGGGTTTTAGGGTTTAGGGTTTTAGGGTTTTTAGGGGTTATTGGGTTAGGATTAAGGTTAGGGCTTAGAGTTTCAAGGGTTTAGGAACCCTTTAGGAACCCTAAACCCTTAAGGTTAGGGTTTAGAGTTTTACGAGTTTAGGAACTATTCAGGAACCCTAAACCCTAAATTCAACTCCAAGCCCCAGTGGTTTTCATAAGGGCTTCTAGGGGCTTCTCAAGGGATCTATGGACTTACAAGGGTTGTTAAAGAGTGCGGAGGCATCATGAGGCTCTTTTGGGGCTCTTTGTTACATGGCTTCAAAGTTTGTAGACCGCCGCAGTAGCCTAAAATCCAACTCTCCAGCCCTAAACCGTAAACCCTAAACCCCCTAAACCCTAAACCCCAACAAAGCCCCAGTCTCAAGGTTCTGAGGGTTCGCGAGCATGCAGCACCAAGCATGTCGAGCCGGGCGGGGCCAGGAGTGCAGGACCTTGGAGATGAACTCAAAGATGCCCTCTTGCCAGGCATGGCTGATGAAAATGTCCTCATTTCGCAGGTTTATGGGTTTAGGGTTTAGGGTTTAGGCATGGCTGATGAAAAGGTCCTCAATAAAGGAGCTCTTAAAGAAGGGCTTTGGGGGGGATATTATGTTATGTGATGACTTTTGGCATGGCTGACGAAAATGTCGTCATTTTGCAGGTTTATGGGAATGGTATTCGATAGTTATCATGGAAGTCTAGGGGGATATGAGTATAGGCATGGCTGATGAAAACGTCCTCAATAGAGGGCTCTTGGCTCTTAAAGTAGGGTTCTGCGGGATATATTTTCATGTGCTAATTATAGGCCAAGCTGATGAACATGTACTCAACAGTGTAGGGTTTGGGGGGTGTAGTCCGCTATAGATGGCTGATGAACATGTCCCTAGCTTGTATACTGTCGCAATCGGGGTTGACGGCTTAGCTTTTCGGATTCGGGGTTTAGGGGTTTAGGCACGGCTGAAGACAATGTCTTACTTCCCCATGCCTTGTATTCGAAGAAGTACATAGAGGGTTAAGAGTTAAGACCTTCAGAATAAACACAATCCAAATCCAAACCCTAAACTCTAGAATTTCACCTAGAATCTTGTACCCGTTTTGTTGGGATCTGTAGCTTTACAACCAGAATTCTTCAAAAGATGGTCTTGGAGAACCGAGCATCGCAGTCCAAGCCTTGCGGATTCCTCATCAAAGCCCAGCTCATCTTCCCAGCCAGATGGGTCACCGGCTTGATGTGCTGCTCATTTACCGTGTAGATGCTTGGGCCGTGTTGGCTGTCAAAGTCGTCGGAGCCATCTTGTGGGGGATAGATGCTTCCTTGCCAGATCGCTTGCTGAACCTCCCGCCACAAGTACTTCAAGTCCGGGCGGGTAACACACCAGCGGTCCGGGGGTACAGCTTCGTGCAAAGCTGTGGCTTCAAAGGTGCGGCTCCTGGCTTGGGTACGCATCGCCGCTTGCCGGGGCCATTCGCACGGGGCCGCCAAGGTCCCTGTTGTCTACAACTTGTGGCTGTTCTGGGAAGACATTCTGTTTGAATCCATTCTCTTTAATTATGTACAAAGAACAAACGACCGTGAGGTATTGAACTCTGGCACCGGCGGTTAGGCATCTAGTGCGAATGCTCCCAAGCTCCAGCATTGGGGTCTGTAGCGTTGGTCTGCCTGTGGGCTACTTCTTTGAACCCACGGCAATCGCACGAGGGCGTCGCGCCGTCCTGCAGTTCTTGCGGCGGAAATTACATCCTGTGGATTCGTCCTAGGGATTCCGGAACACTGCCTCAGCTTGGCTTTTGTGGGGGTCCTTTGTCCAAGCATCCTAGCAGTGCTGTTTCATAAGTGGGGTTGTGAGCTTGACCGTATGCACAAGTGCAGCTAAGACACCTGAATTGAACCAGTAACCTTTTCTTGTACTAACAAGACTTCATCCTAAGGACCAAGAGTCGTAGGACTCAAAGCTGTAAGCTCCAAACCCTAAACTTACTTCCCCAATAAGCCAGAGAAATGAAAGGTTAAACTTTCAGATTACTGCTAAGTTAGAAATTATAAGAACCCAAAAAGATTAAAGGCTGGGTAGTGGAGAACTAAGTAAACCTAAAGCCTAAGCCCTAAACCCCAGGCATTTTGAGGCCGGCGCGGCAGGGCCCAGACGGAATCTCCGAACCACCGGCTAAACTGGGGTTCCGTGGTAGTTCCAAGGAAGGGTTTAATGTACTTGGAGGTTCATGGGTAGTTATAAGTAGGCTTACAAGTAGGGTAACTATAGTTCTAAACTATATTAGGGTACTTCTAACTCCACTTATAACTACCCATGAACCTCCAAGTAGGGGCCCTAATAAATAGAATAAGGTTCTGGGCTCTTTTCGTCTAAGTATAGTAAGGAAACCTAAGAGACTTCCGAGTTCTGGACCCTGTGCTACGACAGGATAGTGTATAAGGAACCTCATAAGGGCTCTACTTGCTTCTCCCTTTCAGGGGCTCCCTAAACCCTGAACCCACCTTGATGTAGGAACCTGATTAAGAAACCCTGGGTCTTTGTTAGGGTTTCTTATATGGATCCCAATTTAGTGGGGTTATAGGACCAGAGTTTCGTAATCAGGTTCCTACATTACCGTTTTAGAACCTCTCTCAGGGACTGAGTCCGGTTGCTTTGTTCCATGGAGCCAAGGCTGCGCACGCACACCAAGTTTCCCAAAGCCCTGATGACCCCCAGCCCTAAACTGCCTAAACACTGACCCTGTCTCCGCCCCCAGGCAGATTTCCTGTGCAAGTATGCACCTAAACCCTAAACCCTAAA